TCGTGTATTTATTTACCTTTGAACTATTGATAAATGGCTGGTATTATAACTAGAGGTTATGCTGATTGGGTAGGACTAGATGGTACATTAGAGTGGGCCATTAACCGATCCTTAAGGCTTTGGTTCCTGTACAGTTGGAAACGGAACAATAGTCGCTGTCTTCGCAAAATATCCCTAATTTAACTCTGTATGGCCTTGCCTTCTTCATCGACACAATCAAGAAAATTAAAAAGGACATAAAACTCCATCTCATTCTTTTCCTTTCATTTGAAAATATACTGGACTCTAATTTAGATCTGTGGACACTTTCAGATATACAGTTCCCCTCAAGGCAAGGTTACTTTGAAAATGTGACGAAACTTTATTATTGTAGAACCCAGAATGAAACAAGAAATAGAAACCATGGAATATTTTCTGTTTGTAATGGAAATGAATTTTTCAAGAAAAATTCCCTAATTATCGCTATTCGACTTATTCAACACCTCGCTTTCTTGTAATATATCATATACGTGTTTGTGATACACAAGTATATAATTATATAGGTGTGAAACATAGTGACGTACTATAAACACGTAAAAGTTTTGGATCCAAATTGAATCAAATGTTTTCTGAACCTTATTTGGCTTTTGATCGCATATATCTTGCAGTTTGCAACGAGTGAAATTTTACCATGATATTGACATCGGAGTATTCCTCTTTCGTTTACCAACTGTCCATAAACGTCACTGGACGGGATTGACGCTTTTAGTTTTTTTTCCAAAGATCACTTCATTTTTACGAATCATAATATACCTAGCGAATATCAAAAACAGTAGCTATTTGACATTAACACCAAACTAATTATTAACTCTTGTCGTGAATTTGTCACTTCTTTTTTCAGTTTTCTTGATAAGAAATAGTTTTACATAAAATATAGAAAATTGGCTGGGAAATAAATTTGTAAATTGTCTTACCTCTGGTTGTCCAGTAGTCCACAAATCATACGATTTATTCGAATTCATTTCACTTTTCTTAAAACCAAAACTTTTAAAAAATGTTAGCGTTCTGCGATATATCAGTTTTCACCAGCTCAAATAACCTATTGTGGTTTCATTTCTTGACAAACAGGTAGGTTTATGACTCGATCATCAAGTCTCATCTTTATCATTAAGATCGTCAAGTCGATCAGTCACGAATTCATCTTTAAGAAAAGGTGTGTTTTTGTCCAATTTACGTCCCAAGACAAAGTCCAGTGATAATACGAAAATGGAGTTTTCGTTCTTATTTTCTACTAATAAGGTGATCGATGGTAATAATAGTTATCCCATTAAGGACATGAAAACACTTTACGTCATGATGGACGAGACGATCAGATGTCAAGATATATAACATCTACCCAAACGTGCAAAAACATTATAACGTATTGTTCTTTACTATTCACGACCTTTCATCTCAGACTGAATAAAACAAAGTGAAAAAATTCAATGATATATCAATTGCAGTTGACTAAAGCTAAACGCATGTTCTCGACAAATTTTTCGGGTGCATAACCTTGACAGGATAGTAATAGCTTTGGAAATAGGGTTCACTTTCCAAAATTGAACTTTGAACATTAAGCAAAGTGGAATCATTGAACAAGAACAAAATATATACTCAAAGACAAAAGAAACGTCTATTGTGATAATGATAAAACTTAAAGGGACAGATGCGCCATTTTTTTTTTACAAATAGTACCTTAAGTCTCAGAAACGGAAATGTATTAGCTAAGCCAATCAGTCACAGTGTTCACAGCTCAGCGTCGAAATTTGAGCCTTCAAATTCATTAGTGTCCAGAGTTATGCGCCTTTGAGAGTTAAAAAGACGAGTCGTATTTTCTTAAGACACTGCAATTGAGGGAAAGCGATCTATAGAAATAAGAAAAAAAAGTAATAGTTTGAAATATTTTTGAAGGAATTATGCGATTTTCGTACGTTTCTAGTGCTTCTGAAAACTACTTACATATATTCAAGACTCAAATCAACCCCCAAAATGGCGCATCTGTCCCTTTAAGAGACACTTGCTGTTGCATGTTCTGTGAACAATAAACTCATTTAATGCTCTAAGATACTTTTTTTGTCACCTTAAGTAAAGAAAACTGTCTTTCTCTGATTTCTTTACTTACATGTATAAGCATTTGAAAATAAAGATATATACGCTACAACGGGCTGACGTTTATTTTGCTCTTCAATATATTATTGAAAGAAAAATTGGAAATTGGTGTTACTAGTTTCAATAATAACGCATTGTTCTGTGAATTCGTGGCTTTTGCCCATTGAAATAAAAATCGATGTTGAAAAAAACCACGGATATTTTCTTCATAAGGAACACAATTGACTTCAGAAAATTCAAGTTTGTGGACGTATATTACCTCCACCAAGATTACAATGCACAAATATAAGGATATATTTTATTCCGGGTATGACTTCATTTTTGACCATTAACAATTGCCATTCCTCTTTGATGTTTAACATGTTCGCAATGTAGACGGGATCGGTCAGATCTTATAGAATTCATCTCTATTGCGAAATTAAGAAAGGAGTGAAAAGACTGGATGTGAAATTAACACTAATTTACATCAAATATTACATTAGGATTGTCTTTAACATTTTGTCTATTGTTTTTCGTTAGGGGGCTGATCGACCTGCCAATTTAAGTTTTTATTAAAATCTGAGGTACCTGGATGCATAAGCATCGATAACACTCACCATCTTCATCATGGTAAAAACATCAAAGTCAAATATATTGAAATCGTCATCATCTTATCGACGTCATTATGAAGGTAGACATCGAAATCGTCATTAAAATACACATCGTGATCCTCATGGTCATAAATATCGACATCGTCATCATCATGATAATAATTACTGATATCATCATGGTAATAATTACTGATATCGTCATCATCATAGTAATAATTACTGATATCGTCATCATCATGGTAATAATTACTGATATCGTCATCATCAATTACCAATCGTTATCGTCAAATATTCATCATCATCATCATCATCACCATCAAAACAAACAATTATCATTATCGTTTTCGTTATCAACACCAATCCCAGCATTTGTTGTGTCGTTAAGGTGGATTTGTTTATAATAAAAGAATAAGACCTTCGATAGAATGCTTAAGAGTAATTCATGCTGAAATTCTGGGGCATCCTCTATTATGAATAGTGTTTTAAGGAGTAATATTTTGATCTCGATTTGCCTCGGTGAATCAAAACGACTCATAATAATATACTTATTACTTGTTTACATCCCACTAAAATACGTCAAGAATAAAGGATACCCGGTGACCCCATTAGATTTCATCTCTATAAAGTGCATCGACCCATGACATCACTGGCAAATAATAAATTTGGCCCAATTTCTTTCCTATGAAGTCACCTGCCTACATTCCGGGTTTAAGGTTTTCAAAATATGTTTCAATCAAATTTATTGTATAGTATATTATAGTATTTATTGGTAATATCTGTACGTGACAAGAAATAGACCAATGCTTCTCTACCTTAGTGAGATCATTCTTCCCCGAAAGAGTTATCCCAAATCTATCACTCCCCCAAAAAATTAGTAGTTTTGAAAAATATTTCACTCGAAAAATGATTTCAATGATTAACCACGAATGAATATACCATCATACTCCACATATCAAGATAGTTCAATGTAACCCTTGGACCGAGTGTTCCTTTACGATTTTCTGTATGTTTTGGGTCGATGATGTTAAATTCAGTCGTAGATCACCTTGCCTCCCATTTCCTCTCCTGGTCCGACGATTCCTCCCCATTTCTCAGGATTAGATTTTACACCTCAACAAACAGAGGAGATAGGTTTGTGACCTTTAAAGGATATTAGTATCGTCGTTTTTATTATCCCCCTAAACGCCAATATATCCTAGATGCGCTAACAAAACTGGGATAACAGCATATAGGAATGGCCCGACAATCTGTGAAACGTTACATGAGCAAAATAAATATAGGACCAAGGGCAAAAAAAGACATTGTTTTGATATTATCTACAAATCTCTCTGTAAAATATGACTTTATCTGTTACTTGTCGAAAAAGGTACACTCATTTTTTTCCTGGCCCAATTAATAAATTAAATCTACACCATCTGCTGCTGTTCTGTCAAGATTAGACTTATTGTCCACCTCATGGCGTTGCCTGTCTTCATTAGTCTATAAGGTGCAGAAAAGTAGAACGCAAAACTCCATTCAATTCATTGTTAGTTTTACGCCCTTCTTTGAATATAATAAGAGCCAAAGAACTGACTGGATTGAGTCGTCATGTCTACAAGTTTTTCAGATTTCTTAAATTAAACTGTTATACATTATTTTCTTGTAAAATGAAAACAGAAAAAATACCAAATCTTGATGTCAGAGTTAATGATTTTTCTGATGATGCTCTCAAAGGAATGTATGGGAGATAACTGCGTAAACAGACGCAGACCACAGCCGTTTCACGTGACATAGCCCCTAACTTGTACAGACATTTTCTGATTTCGGCAGTTTTGTGTTATATTTCAAGACATTCAGCAGCCTTATGTTATATTTCAAGACTTTCAGCAGTTATATTTCAACACTTTCGGCAGTCTTGTGTTATATTTCAACACTTTCAGCAGGCTTCAAAAGCCGTTTGTTATACTTCACGACTTGCAGCAGTCTTGTTATATTTCGAGACATTCAGCAGCCTTATTGATATTTCAAGACATTCAGCAATCTTATATAATATTTCAAGACTGTCAGCAGGCTTCAAAAGCCGTATATTATATTTCATGACATTCAGCAGCCTAATTTTAAATTTCACTTATGTTATATTTCACAACGTTCAGCAGCCTTATATTATATTTCAAAACGTTCAGCAGCCTTATGTTATATTTCAAGACATTCAGTAATCTTATATTACATTTCAAGATATTCAGAAATCTTATATTATATTTCAAAAGCCGTATGTTATGTTTCATGACATTCAGCAGCCTAATTTTAAATTTCACTTATATTATATTTCACAACGTTCAGCAGCCTTATGTTATATTTCAAAACGTTCAGCAGCTGTGTGTTATATTTCAAAACGTTCAGCAGCTGTGTGTTATATTTCAAAACGTTCAGCAGCCGTATGTTATATTTCAAAACGTTCAGCAGCCGTGTGTTATATTTCAAAACGTTCAGCAGCCTTATATTATCTTTCAAAACGTTCAGCAGCCGTGTGTTATGTTTAAAGACGTTCAGCGTTCTTGTGATAATTATTTCCATACGTCTTTACTCTACACGTTAAACAAACTGAAGCCTATTTAACGTTCAATAGTTTTATGTTAATTAACTCAAGATGTTCGGCAGAATTATGTTACATAATAATAATTAACTTTCAGGCCTCACATTTGCGATTTATTACTTGTAGAGTTTTTTTTTAAAAGAAATATCTTCAAAGTATAGCAATCACCTCTGAAGCTTTTTTTTTTTTTTTTTTTTTGTTTATTAAAATCTCAAAAGTTCGTTTTATGAAATAGGCATATTTCAATCGTAACGTTAAATATCTAAAAATAAATGAAACAAAAAATCCTGTGGATGGAAGGTTAGGTTAGTGTTAAGATCTCCTCTCTTGCTGCGCTCAGGTGGTTTTCAATTTCTAAGTGAATTAATTGGCAAATCATTTGTGGCAAAATTTCACTGAGGAAATGATTTTCAAAATTAAAGGAAAATCCTACATAGATATGAATTTACCAAAATTGAATAATTCCTGCAAGAGTTCAACACATTTTCCTACATAAGATAAATGAAAGTCTTTAATAAATGTAACACGCAATAGGTAAACATTATAATTTTAACACATTTGAAAAGTGGTTCACACGCCAAGAACATGTTTTCAATGATTTATAAAACATAAGTCAAAAGAGTTCCACCTAGAATAGAACTAATGATAGGCTTTCCCAAGTTTGGCTGGCATCAAACTACGTCACGGGTTGTTTATACTGGGGAAAATATTCAATATGGCGTCAAGAATGAATCAAATAGGTTGCTCTGTGAAAATTCGTAAGTATGCTTTGTACCATTTTCTGCATGCTCGTAAATTGTTGACAACTTTTGTCCAGTTGCATAAGGCTACATTGATGGACGATTGTGCAAATGTTAATCGAAGCAGACGCTTAAAAATGATAGAATAGCTGTTTCAAACCAAATCTTCATTGAGCTAACGAATGAGGTCACGTGTGTATAGGAAATAAACACGCTGTTTTTTTCGTCTGCTATGCGAATTTTGTTAAATATTTTGAGAAAATATATCACAGACTTCGTAAAGGTTGACTTTTGAAATAAATTGTTGTATGAAATGAACGAAGAATACAAATAAAACCGGATTTTCTTCAGTGAGGTAGCTAGAAAATGACCCTCAACTAATGTATGATGACTCATTCATTGGCGTATGTTTACAATTTCGACTTGTATGACTGATTCATATTTTCTTGACGGAATTTGTCTTGGCAGACTTTTGGTTTGTGGTTACTATTTTTATCTCTTTACTAATGTTATTTGTTCCTCATTTGTCTTATGTACTGTGCCAGTTTTAATTTGATTTTGTTTGAAGAATCCTAAGTGGACAAACAATTTTGCATTATTATGACTTTATGTATTATTCAATAAGTTTTTACAAGTTTTGAGTCTTCTTAATTCAATGGCATCAGCTTTCTCAATTTTCAATTTTTTTTTCTCTGAAAAATAGTTTACAGTGACTAAGAATTGATGGAATATGAACTGAAACATTTTTAAAGTATGACTCATTTCTAACTCCAAATTATGAGTAAAATCAAGGGACATAATCCAATGTATTTAGCAGTTGTTTGTAGTGCTATTATGGCAAAAGCATCGAGCTTAGTGGAATAAACTTTTATGTTCTTTTCTGCTCTATTTTTTTAAGTTAATAAAGATGGGAAATTACACATGCAATTAGGAAAATTTCAGCTACTTCTGTGGCATACTTTTTGCCATTCTCAACTGAAGAAGTTTAAACAGCATGTAGCACACAAAGCCTCGGTTCAATGTCTAAATAACTGCCCTTCACTGAAATCCAAACCTAGGCACAGGTTTGCAAACAGTCATCAAACTTGCCGGGACACACCACAATGTATAGTTGGACACAAAATATAGAGGCCATTCACAAAACAGTTTTTTTCCTCGAAATATGTCCACAGAGTATATAAATGACAAATGGATGAATTTAGTTTATTTAACCAATACTTTTTACAGTGTAAGAATACAATGGAAAACAATAGTTTATAAAAGATGGCTATGGTATTAAATATCCATGATATATCTCTCATATTGCCCTGAAGTATATTACACTGTTCTAATATTGCCCTCTTGAAGAGTTTTCTATATTACTGCATAATAATACAGTGTTCATGGTATAGATGCACTTTTAAAATGAATACTTTAAGAGTTTAGTTGATAAGCCATGAGTATTTTGTAATTAAAGGGATTCTAAAGAGGTTTCTAAATTTTTTATGTATATCTGGAACACTGAAAGCAAATATTTGCACCATTCCAATTTTGGTCACACGTCTGGGCTTCCTGCATTTCCACTAATGTCACTAATCGTAATCTTGAAGGGCCTTATGTGATAAGGCATATGTTGCAATTAGTATTAATGGAATTGCAGGGACAACAGACGTCTGACTGAAAATTGGAATGATGTATTGACGTTAAAGATGGACATAAAAATATAGAAAACATATATTAAAGCTTATACTCAACATATTATTATTATATTAGCACAATATCCCTTTAACCTATAATTATTCAATACTTTAAAAAAAATAAATTAAACAAATGCTGGCCTGCTGTTTGACATTTATCAATTTATCAATTCAAATGTAATATATAATATCTTGTTTGTAATATGTAAGTGAAAAACATTTTATGCTCTCAGTTTATTCTGGATTACTTTCTACATATTTGTATGTTTATTCTGAGCTGGTAGCTCAGTTTATTCTGGATTACTTTCTCAGTTTATTCTGGATTACTTTCTCAGTTAATTCTGGATTACTTTCTCAGTTAATTCTGGATTACTCACTTAGTTTATTCTGGATTACTCACTTAGTTTATTCTTGATTACTTTCTCAGTTTATTCTGCTTTACTTTCTCAGTTTATTCTGGATTACTTTCTCAGTTTATTCTGGATTACTCTCTTAGTTTATTATTACTCACTTAGTTTATTCTGGATTACCCACTTGGTTTATTCTGGATTACTTTCTCAGTTTATTCTGCTTTACTTTCTCAGTTTATTCTGGATTACTTTCAAAGTTTATTCTGGATAACTCACTTAGTTTATTCTGGTTTACTTTCTCAGTTTATTCTGGATTACTCACTTAGTTTATTCTGGATTACTCATTTAGTTTATTCTTGATTACTCACTAAATTTATTCTGAATTACTTTCTCAGTTAATTCTGGATTACTCACTTAGTTTATTCTGAATTACTTTCTCAGTTAATACTGAATATTACTTTCTCAGTTAATTCTGGATTATTCACTTAGTTTATTCTTGATTACATACTTCGTTTATTCTTGATTACTTTCTGAATTTATTCTGAATAACTTTCTCGGTTCATTCTGAATTACTCACTTAACTGGTTCTGGTCTCTTAGTTCATTCTGAGTAAGTATATTCCCTCAGTTTAGTCTCAATTACTAACTTTCTTATTTTATTTTGAGCTTTCAGTTTAACTGGTAATGAATTCTAAATTATAATTTCAGGTTGAAATGGAATTGGTTTTGTTTGAATCAGTGATGTCTGTGTTATTTGTATGACAGTGAGTAGAGATTTTTTATTTAGAGTGAGTGTGTAAAATTAAAGAGGCATTCTGCTTTTTTTGTAAAACATTTTCTTTATCAAAAACATTGTAAATTATACCTGAAAATATTCTAAAGTATGCTATTTATATCTATGTATAATCTTATTGATATCTATATATCAACTTAACCTGAATTTGTTTTTTAAAGAGTTAATTAAAAACAGGGAATACTAATTGTTAATTAAACAGCTTGCAAAATTTGCAAACTTTTTAAATAGTTTTTGCATTGAAAATTTATAACGGCTGGATTTTTTTTAGTTAATATTCAGGTACGTTATGGGATACATTTCTCTAGATTTTGGTGTAAAGTTTTCACAAATTTTAGCAAAAAAATTTTTCAGCCTACAAAAAAAGCGGAATGTCCCTTTACCGGATTTTACCACAGTACCTTGTCAAATTTTGAAAACAGCAGTTTGTTATACAATTAACCTTGGTATTTTTCTCAAGATTAAAAACAAAATCATTTAATTCGGAAAAGTTTGATGCTACTGGGTTCAAGAACATGGTATCAAGAAGATAATCTCGTCAGATCATGGGTGGTATGAGTAAGTAGCCCATAGAAAAAACATGATATATAATATATGAGTGTTTGTATTTTCATTGCCATTAATTTACTTGCAGAGAAATGGGAGCAGCTCACAGTAAAAGACATAAATATCGTAAGAGAAAGAAAGAGGATGTAGATGAGTCATTATATAGAGATTTAGAGAGATTACGCAGTTTATCTAAAACACGTTTAAACAGGCTCTCGGCAGACATTGAAAACATGACTAGTGATAGTAACGCGTTGGATTTTACCATTTCGGACAAAGCAAGTTATAGTCAGTCAAATACTTCTACTGATACTTATACTACTAGTCAAGTACCGCATAATACTAATTTAACATATACCCAGGGTGTTCGGAACATTAACTTAGATGATCATCCAGTCCTTACTAAATTACAAAACAAACAGAATGCCCGTCTGGAAAGTATGGAACAACGTATGGACAGGATACGAAATAGTGCGATGCAAGCTGCCGAGAGACGAAAATTTGCCTACATGTTTAAAGCCAAAAGTGATGAGGACAAAGCTAAGAAACTACTTAAGGAAGCCAAGGAGGAAATACAAGGTTTACATGATACAGATGAAGGGGACATAATCCCAGTCAAAATATTACAAGGGGAAGCAACTCATCAAGATAAAAATAGTAACTATACTAATGTCTGTGGTGATGAGGACAAGTCCTTACTTATTGGTGGACTCAAACTTTGTAAGTTTATTTCTTTCTGTAGGTTCATTCCCTAATTCATCTTGATTCATCGAGTGTAAGAAGACAAAAGCTCCTCATCATAGTCCACATGTTAGACAATGGACTCCGAAACTATGACTTTGAGCTCCGGCCTGGGAAAAAAAGATACATGCCAAGAGGTTTTGCCAAAAAACAGCTTTCATTATTTTGTTTTATAAGCCTTTTTGTAACTTGATGCTTCAGTCAAGATTTTTCATCTTCTTACCAATTATGACAGTGTTATGTTGAGCTACATTACAATAACCACTCCAACAGGTTACCATGGTAATGTTAAACATTACCGAACACCTGATGCCACTGTATTACTCTTTTGGCAAGATATGTATCATGTGTTATATGTGTATTATTATGTATATGTATTACATGTATCATTTCGCTGAAATTTCTGGTCAATCTCTCCAGTCATAAATATATTTTTTTTCCCTCTTATTTCAGCTGATCCTATCACCTGGTTGCTGCTTCCACTAATGTTGCCAATAGTATTAATAGCCTTTTTTATGCGTGGGCTAATGACTCCTAACCAGTTACGAAGAAAAAAGTCTGGATAAATATGACTATGTGGCCTGTCTACACAGTTTTGAACATCTAGTCATTTTTTTCTCATTTAAAGTGATAGAAAAAAGCATTTAATATGTGCAATGACAAGAGACAATGAAAGACATTAACTTCTGCCAAGACTTCAAACCAAATATGTGCCTAATAGTCATTTCATGTTCCTAGTAAGACTGGATATAGTCAGAAACATGTTGATCCAGATAAGCTTTGAATAGATATTTTTGACAGTTATCAACTCGAGTAGGTTCTTAAACCCTATGAACACTGAGTGTAAATGAATTAAAACATCATATACCTTGAACTTATTGGAAATATAACTAATAAGTTTGATGTATACGACACAGCCTCGTTGCCAGGAATGAATTGGTGCTGGGGCTCAGATTTTGTACTCAGATAATTTGAAGAATTACAGGCCCAGACAACTCAATTCTGACAATTTTAAGGTGCCAAATCGTATCAGAATCTATACCTTTTTGATTTGGTTCAAAGACACTATAAATGAATCAATCTCAGTTAAACTGAAGACGATTTTGCTGGGGCTTAATTCTCACTTGCTGAGGCTCAGCGCTCATGGACCCCACCCTAACTTGATAATGGCCGCTCAGGTATATATTGCGTTATTATGTGGCTGGTAAACGGCCGCTCAAGTTGAAATGGTCAAGAGGTTTAATATATTGGAGATTTCATGCAACACTTTTGAACATTTTTGAGGGTAAAGTTTCGATCAAAACAAGAACTCTGCAATATTTCACCTTTTCTTCATATGCAAACTCGGGCATTGAAGGGAGATTCTTTGACTTGATTTGGAGTGTCTACATGCTCTACATAAATTTTGCTTTTTTGACCCTACACCAGAAAATGACTGTCAAGAATATCTATCATAGGCCCCTCCTTATTTCTTAAGACACTCCTTTCACTGTAGACTAATTGTTTTACACATATATTAGCTGTGTTTAATTCAAGTTACTATTTTGGGTACCAGTTCACTATCTAAAAGGCATGAATTTCGATGTTAATGAAACTGATATTTGCCAAAGTATATTTTCAATTTTTTTTTCAAAATTTCATCCCACTAGAGCAATACTTTGTCAGACATAACCATCAGATATATATGATTCAGCTAGATCAGTGCTTCTCAACCAGTGGTGGAGCCAGTTGGGGTTTATTTGCACAAATCTAAATGTCTACCTTTTTTCTTCAAAATATGTGTCAAAATGCACAAAATCAATTCATTTTTTCTGAAATTTTCGTGAGAGAACCCTCTAAGGCGCTCTCTATGAGAGGCTTGTGACTATGACGCCACCACAGAGTAGCCAAAATTTGAATTCAGCCTCAATCAGTCTGCCCCCTATTTGTACCCCCAGTCTTTGAAGGCTGGTGCCACCACTGTTCTCAACAGGGGGAGGAATTATTGCCAAGGGGGGAAATGGGGAAGAATCATCAGACTGGAAGGCAAGGTGATCTACGACTGGAATTGACATCTTTCACCCTAGTTACAAAAAATCAAAATGATTTTACATCCATTCATGGTTAATCATGGAATACATTTTGTCAAGTGAATTGCGTTTTAGAATGTATTTTGTGAATTTGGAAGAATTCTTTCAAGGAGAAACGATCTCTCTGAGGTTGAGAAACACTGAGTTAGATAGTTATTTTGTTGTTGTAGTGAAGTCCCTAGATTTCTAGTCCAGAAAATATTACAATCAATGCATAATAATATGTTTATTTTTTAGAGAATGATTTGGATATTCATATCATAACCTGTATAAACTGTGCAATTTCATTTTTATATATTACAATCATATATTTTTCATAGCAAGATAGCTATAATGTACTAGCCATTTTATTCAATCTGATATTTTTGTTTGTAATATTTTATTCATAAGAGAAAAGGATTAGGGAACAGGTTTTTCACCTATATGACACTATTTTCTCAGATTCAATCTGATTAAACTGCAGATTGTTTTTTTCTTAAGATTTTTACATTTGACAAGACATTAATGCTTGCAGAAAAACAACCAAAATAGAAGCACTTCAATCATACAGAAAAAAATGGACTTGATTAGTTTACTTTTTTCCTGTAAATATTAATGCTGTATTCGTTACCTTTTGGAAGTTTCCAACTGGTAAGTTTGATCACCTTTGATTCATATTAGGTACACATTTCGAAAAATGTCACATCACACCTTGCCATATGACATTTTTTGTCTAAAACACGATATAATTTTACCTCTTTTTAGGCTTACCAATTTTATATAGCATAATGACTCTGATTGGTCAGTCCTAATACAGTTACTGTTGTAATTTATTAAATATCTGAAGGTGCAGGCACACAAACGGTCTTGGTCGCTGATTTTTGTCGCTCACTAGAGTCTTATCAAGAGTTTCACCGACTGGCAAAAGGCAAAAATCTCCAGTGAGTCTTTTTCCACTATGTTGGATCATCATGCAAGGAAAAGAGTCTGATTGGATGATGAAGCTCTGTCTTGCGAGCTCTTGCATAAATAATTGGCGAAAAAATCAAAATTTGTTTGATTTTATAAATCCTATTTGCGACTATGACTGTTTGGGTGAACAAACCCTTAATATAATGAGATATCAGTATCATAAGATATAAACATTTTGTCACAGTCCAACAAGTTTTGCTCTGAACTAGATTTAAAATATATTGCAACATTTGATATTGATTATTATGTGCAAATTGATATATTGTCATTTTTTCTTATTTAATTATTATATTTGATACTAGTCAGTATTTGATGAAATTATAATTTATATTATATATTATGTAAATGATATAAACCATGTAAATAACATAATTATTTAACATATTGGATTAAGCCAAGTTTAATTTTATATAAGGTAATATCTAATTTGATAAGGTAATATCAACAAGTCTAATTTTATAAGGTAATATGAAGAAGTTTAATTTGATAAGGTAATATCAACAAGTCTAATTTGATAAGGTAATATCAACAAGTCTAATTTGATAAGGTAATATCAACAAGTCTAATTTGATAAGGTAATATGAAGAAGTTTAATTTGATAAGGTAATATCAACAAGTCTTTTATTTATAATGTAATGGCAATGTCTAAGTTTGTGAGGTATTTTTAAGTCTAAAATTATAAAGTAATATCAACTAGTCTGATTTGATAAGGTAATATCAACAAGTCTAATTTGATAAGGTAATATCAACTAGTCTAATTTGATAAGGTAATATCAACAAGTCTAATTTTATAAGGTAATATCAACAAGTCTAATTTGATAAGGTAATATCAACAAGTCTAATTTTATAAGGTAATATCAACTAGTCTAATTTGATAAGGTAATATCAACAAGTCTAATTTTATAAGGTAATATCAACAAGTCTAATTTTATAAGGTAATATCAACAAGTCTAATTTGATAAGGTAATATCAACTAGTCTAATTTTATAAGGTAATATCAACTAGTCTAATTTGATAAGGTAATATCAACAAGTCTAATTTGATAAGGTAATATCAACAAGTCTAATTTTATAAGGTAATATCAAGAAGTCTAATTTTATAAGGTAATATCAACAAGTCTTTTATTTATAATGTAATGGCAATGTCTAAGTTTGTGAGGTATTTTTAAGTCTAAAATTATAAAGTAATGCCTACAGCCTAATATAGGGTTAACGCCAAGTCTAATGTCATAAAAAAGAAACTAAATTTATACCATTACGTCAAGTCTAAATAAGCTTATATATGGTAATGTCAAATATGATTTTAGAAGTTGATTTTAGAAGTTATTATTCTTGGTAAATACTTAAGCATGTCTTGAAGATTTGTTTTGTAAGCTATGTACATATATCAAATGGTGCTTCTGTAAGAATACAAATTAACAATGGGTATGCCATGCCTCATTTCTTTTCTTTCGTATAAATCAATTATTGTTTCATTGGATAGGTTCTGTGAAACTAAAAACTGCATGCATGAAACAAGAAATATGGTTCCAATCATAAGACATGACATCTTATTTGATGAAACAGTTGCAGAAAAATTAGATTTCAGGTTTTCCTTCTAAAAAGTGATACTGGTCTGAGTAAAAATGACTGAATGCCTTAATTGATGTCATGGATCCCAAATTGCAGGAACCAGGCCACGTATTCTCGAAACGATCTTAGCGCTAGGATGTCCTAGGTTCTTACCATCTAACATTGATTCTAGGACATCCTAGCGCTAAGATCGTTTCGAGAATACGTGGCCAGACTTTCAAAAATTGGAATGGTGCAAAGTGATGCTATCAGTGTCCACTATACACATAAAATTTTCAAAAAAGTTGTTTACAATCCCTTTAAGTCAATATAATACTGGCTGAGCATGCCTTATTTCATGATGATAAAAAGATTGTAAGTAGATTAAAGATATATTGTATAAATTGTAGGTAATAACAGATATAATGTATAATTTTATATATATTGTGATATCATTTTAGATATTTTATTTTTAATGTTCATTTTAACATTATTACCTCTGTTTTTAGTCAGACTATAAATAAATATTACTAAATTCCAATTGGGACTTTTATCTGGCAGTTACATTTTACTAGACCTTTCAGTCTATTATGTGTGGGACAAGGCCTGGAGCCTGTGTGGCTCAATAAGAAATTTAGCCTGTGTGGCTTAATTTGTCTCAATTACTTAGGCCCTGTTCCTCTGAGCTATCAAAAAGGATCAAAAAAGCATAAAATATGTGTGGCTCATTTAGGGTCTTCGGCCTGTGTGGCTCAATAAGATTTTTCCAATTATGTTGTTGCTCAGCTATGCCTTAAGCCTTGTTTACTCAATTAGGACTTAAGCATGGTGGCTTAATTTAGAAGGTACTTTTTCTGATAAAGTCAACGAAATAGTTCAGATCTGAGCCACCATAAAGAAAGAAGAAGGTATTTTATATAACAAAAACACAATTTATTCTTCTAAAAATATTGGAATTATTATGGATTAAAAAAATGCTGAAGAGTTTGTTCTAAAACAACATTAAAGGATGCTTGCTTTCTGTAGCTAAAATTATATTTTACTAAACAAAACTATGCAGTTTGCACGAGGAAATTTTTTTAGAAAAAGAAAGTTCACTTTGACAGGTCAAAATCACATCCTTAAACATAATGAGTAAACTGTAAGTAAAATGTCACAAACTACTCAGAAGACTGGTTCCTTTAAAACCTTGCTCTTGACTGGAATGAACTGTAATAAAACAGGAATTATGTGAGTTCATTGTTAGTGTATTGGCATTATATTTATAACTACTTAGGCCATACAAAATAAATAGTCTGTTTTACAGGCCCAAAAATGCCTGATTGTTGCCTTAATATTAAATGTACATTATATTTGTGGTATTGAGATTGAACCATGGACCTTTGGGTTAGCCAGTAAATGTCTTGCTCACTGAGTCATCTGTGCACCCCTATACTGAAGAGAAAAATTGATGACAAAGGTGTGACAAATAATATACAAACCTGTTAAAATATCTTCTATGACTGAATGATCTTCACTTGGTTCATCAACCTAATAATAAGTCAAAAAATTCATTTACCAAACTTTAATAAAACGACAAACAGCTCTTTATTAATATCATAAAAACTGCGCATTATACACACAAATATACAGTATTAGACTGAGAAAATTTGAGAGTAAAATAAATATTTACCTTTACTAGTATATTACAGGCAGGATAAATTTTTAACTGTTGTAATGTAGCTGTATTATCATTAAGGATTTCACCATCTAATATTAATGTTTGATCAAATGGAGGTACTGAGAATATATTCATAATCTACAATATAAAATAACAGGAGCTCATAATCTACAATATAAAACAACAGGAGCTCATAATCTACAATATAAAACAACAGGAGCTCATAATCTACAATATGAAATAACAAGTATTCATAATCTACAATATAAAATAACAAGTATTTATGATCAACTATAACAAGAATTTATAATCCACAATATAAAATCACAAGTATTTATAATCTACAATATAAAACACAAGCATTTTATAATCTACAATAACAAACATTTATAATCTACACTTAATCTACAATAACAAGCTAACAAGCATTTATAATCTACAATTAATCGACAATAACAAGCATTTATAATCTACAATTAATCTTCAATAACAAGCATTTATAATCTACAATAAATCTTCAATAACAAGCATTTATAATAACAAGCATTTATAATCTACAATAAATCTTCAATAACAAGCATTTATAATCTACAATTAATCTACAATAACAAGCATGTATAATCTACAATTAATCTTCAATAACAAGCATAACAAGTATTCATAATCTACAATTTAAAATCATACTATCCAATGAAAAAATCAATCTATTTTAAATATTTTAAGGATATACCTGATAAAATTAAATACCTTAATTTTAAGTTCTTTAAGTGTCATGGAAGATGATACATTGATTTCTTTTTCACCTCGAACTTTTCTTCGACGCTGACTTTTTCTTCTGGAGATCTCATCTGGGTCTATCTTCTGCATCTTGTCTGGAGGTTCAATATTATTGTCATCCACCTGAAACAATAGATCAACAATATATCGACTCCAGATCAGAAACAAAATAGAGCCCTGTGGTTTTGCAAAGTGACATCAAGGCACCACATTTTTTTTTTGCATTAAGTCTTGCATAATGCAGTACAAAAGAAAAATGTATTTTCTCCTTAAGTCTGTCATTTTACCCTAACTGAAGTGGCTTTATAAAATAAAAAATCAAGTTTTGGTCTAAATTTAATTACCACCATAACCATATCTTTAAAAATCATCTGATAAAAAAGGAAGTTACCTCATTCAAATTTTTGTCTTGTGTACCAGTACCATTTGCTAGTGTGTTGATGGACAGATTATCAACACTAACTTGACCCTGAGTCACTACCTCCTTATAAACATATATCACAGTATTTCGAAAATTATACTTCTCATCTTTCTCAGCCTGTAGCCTCACCTGTTGACAGGTCTCACAAACACCTACAAATATCAAAATCCAAGACCTAATTTACATTAACCTATATCATCATGTTAAGATAACATTGGACAAATGGTGTTTGTGGGTTCTAATCTTGGTCACTGGTGGAAGTCTGGAAAACTTAAGAAAGATAATATAATCCAGGAAGGATCAATGCCAAGAGGTTTGGCCATTTTCTTTTCTTCTTTCACAAGGTAAAAGCTTTGCCCACTATGTGTGAAAAATTCTTCAACATCATCAAATTAAGTGACAAGAACCTTCTAATTAATATACAACAATTCTCAACATCTTTTCAGTCTACAAACCTGGTATAGTGATTGTAGTAAGATTGGTATCACTATCTTCTTTATATCTTATAATATTAATATCAACATCACAACTCATATAACTACATAGTATTTTCCATTCATTGGGATATAATAACACTCTAGAATAGATATAAACATCACAACTCATATACCTACATAGTATTTTCCATTCATTGGGATATAATAACACTCTAGAATAGATATAAACATCACAACTCATATACCTACATAGTATTTTCCATTCATTGGGATATAATAACACCCTAGAATAGATATAAACATCACAACTCATATAACTACATAGTACTATCTTCCATTAAATGGGATATAATAACACCCTAGAATAGATATAAACATCACAACCACAAATGGCTGATAATTAAGTACTTACCACCCACAACTGAATGATGATAAAGTACTTACCACCCACAACTGACTGATGATAAAGTACTTACCACCCACAACTGACTGATGATAAAGTACTTACCACCCACAACTGACTGATGATAAAGTACTAATCACCTACAACTGACTGATGATAAGGTACTTACCACCCACAACTGACTGATGATAAAGTACTTACCACCCACAACTGACTGATAATAAAGTACTTATCACCCACAACTGACTGATGATAAAGTAGTTACCACCCACAACTGACTGATGATAAAGATCTTACCACCCACAACTGACTGATGATAAAATACTTACCACCCACAACTGACTGATGATAAAGTACTTACCACTCCTGACTGACTGATGATAAAGAACTTACCACCAACAACCGACTGATGATAAAGTACTTACCACCCACAACTTATGGATGATAAAGTACTTACCACCAACAACTTGATAATAAATTGTGTTCACTATATTGGAAAACAAAACTTACACATTGGATTGATGATATAATTCTTGTGCTGAGTAAAGAAATTTGTTGTGTTCACATAGTAATATTTGATTGTTGATACATGTAATAGGTAAAGTTCTACCATTATCTCTATAAGGCACAAACAAACGTATCTTAATATTCAATTCATTAACTGATAAACAAAGAAAAGTTCTGCTAATGGTATAATCGTACTTTATGAAAAACCATGAATTTTTTAGATGAATTTTAGAGAATTTGACTTGTTCATTACTCTAAATTTGCTGTGAAAGCAAAGGTCTGTATCGCTTTCAAATGTCTGTATGTAAAAATATAGCCTAATCATGAATTAAGGGGTTATTTGTTCTTTGGTCTTCAAAAGGGGGAATTGTTCAGCTAAGCTAATCGTTTATATTATTCAAAGATTACAATCAAAGTTTGAGCCTTCTTAGGCATTGGTATGTTTGAAAGTTAAAAAGACGAGTCAATACCCAAATTTATTTACATATATTCAAAGTCCAAATCAACCCCAAATCAATTGCAAACAATTGCCTTTGAGCTAAGGAGCAGATATAGATATCAGGATATTCAGTTTCCTATAAGTTTAGTCTCTTACTTGATGTATTTCCTCCACTCGGTAGTAAATATTTTACTAACAATATACAGTTGTGATAAAGACTGATCCTCTAGACTAGGTCTACGTCGATCAAAATATAAATCACATAATTCATTTTTCTGTTCTTCTATACGTTTCTTCTTTAATAATTTAATTTCACTCTTTTCTAAATTAATTGCCTGAAAATAAGAGGAGTGGTTATACTATTAGTTTGCATCTTATTGAGCTAATTCTGTAAGCCACTATGATTGCACATAAACATAGAATGAATGAAAAATCTATTACTATGTATAACTAAATTCAAATGAGCCCTGTTTAACAGGTTGTAGATAATCCCGATATCTGCATGGTTTTTTAATTGGAACAGAATATTCAATGGAATATATAAACTGACCAGAAAGGAGTTAAACCGCACAATTCAATCTGTAACCTTAATGTGCAGATAAACAAGGCTCCACTGTACATCTAGTCTAAATTAGTGTATACCTGGCATTGTGGACAAACAGGGTGGTCTAAAGTATACTGTTTAGATTGAGGAAAGTAACCATATAAAATCTTCCACACATCTTCAGGAATCATTTTACGAGTATTTTCATCACAGCTTAAATTTCCTGCAAAATAGGTGAAAATATCAGCAAAATGAAAGTAGCAACATTACTTGATAAAGACAAGCATGGCATCATCATGATAATCATGAATTATCACATGATAAATCTGTATTAAAACTTTCCATGATCATCACATAATAAATCTGTATTAAAACTTACCATGATTATCACATAATAAATCTGTATTAAAACTTACTATGATTATCACATAATAAATCTGTATTAAAACTTACCATGATTATCACATAATAAATCTGTATTAAAACTTACCATGATTATCACATAATAAATCTGTATTAAAACTTACTATGATTATCACATAATAAATCTGTATTAAAATGTAATATGATTATCACATAATAAATCTGTATTAAACTTACCATGATTATCACATAATAAATCTGTATTAAAACTTACCATGAGTATCGCATAATAAATCTGTATTAAAACTTACTATGATTATCACATAATAAATCTGTATTAAACTTACCATGATTATCACATAATAAATCTGTATTAAACTGACCATGAGTATCGCATAATAAATCTGTATTAAAACTTACCATGATCATCACATAATAAATCTGTATTAAAACTTACTATGATTATCACATAATAAATCTGTATTAAAACTTACCATGATTATCACATAATAAATCTGTATTAAAGCTTACCATGATTATCACATAATAAATCTGTATTAAAACTTACCATGATTATCACATGATAAATCTGTATTAAAACTTACCATGATTATCACACAATAAATCTGTATTAAAACTTACCATGATTATCACATAATAAATCTGTATTAAAACTTACCATGATTATCACATGATAAATCTGAATTAAAACTTACCATGATTATCACATAATAAATCTGTATTATAACTTACCATGATTATCACATAATAAATCTGTATTATGACTTACCATGATTATCACATAATAAATCTGTATTAAAACTTACCATGATTATCACATAATAAATCTGTATTAAAACTAAAACTAGGTTCCATTTGATCTGCTGTATTACCTTTAAAATAAAACAGAATCATTTTAAAGGGATTGTAAAGAGATTTTCTTAATTTTTTATGCGTATCGGGGACATTGATAGTATCAATTTGCACCATTCTAATTTTCAGTCAGATGTCTGTGGTTCCTGTAGTTCCACAAACTAAGTGTTTGATGACATCACTGATCACAAAATATGCTTATATCATATAAGGCCCTTATCAATCAACAAACAAATCAACAATGTAAATTTTAATATAATAATTACCATTGACATCATCATCATTATTTTCAGGACTTGTAGCACCATTACCGGTACCATTACTATTACCATTAGGCACTCTTTCTTCACTCTCTAATTGTGACAATGCTAATCTCTTCCAACTTCTCAACGATGACTTACCAATCCAATACAATTTCTCACTAAAATTCAATTTAACAAATTAACACAATTATAACAATGAATAAGTTTGTAATGAAATGAAATGAATGGTGTTTTAAGTCCTTGTTTTGATGCACAAAAGTGAGTTAATGAAACTATGCAAGTAAGTCTAAAAGCATGTTTAATACAATTTAAACTGCACAAATATTTTGAATGATATTTACCTCTTATTTATATTTTTCATTAAAGATGAAATTTTCTGATCATCAGCAGCCATTTTGAGTTTTAATTGTATCACTTGACAACGCCTGACAACACATGCTTTACATAATACTTCCTGACTAATAACATAAATGTGCATACTTTTAATTTTAAAAATGAAATGAAATGAATGGAGTATTATGTCCTACTTTTCTGCACCATATGGGCTACTGAAGACGGGCAACACCATGCAGGGTGCAATGAAATTTTGCCAGGACAGCGACATTAGCCTGGTCTTTTTTGATTTCCAACTGTCGAGGGGTCTTTAATGTGCACAGCCTGTAGCACATGGTGCCTCGGTTTATTGTCTCATCCGAATGTCTAGACGCTTTTCCATGTCAGCCCCTCTTACCTGCATCACTGACAGGGGGAAACCGGGTTGAAAAATCCGAAGGTATTACCTCGACCTATGCCGGGATTGAACCCCGGACCTTCAGGTTAGCGAGCAAGCATTTGGGAAGAAGATATGTAGACTGAATGTAGTCAAACAACCATTTTGTCAAGAATCAAGATTGCCTCGTATTTCCACTTACCCTTTTAATCTGGGTCCACCATTATATAAATTATACAGTTGTTGACCACCATTAATATTGATACATTTTACTTTACATATCATATCAGGGTCTAATCTAATATATAATACAAATATAGAAATACTGAAACAGAACCTGAAACATGTCTAAATTATTACTGTATAGCTAAACTATTCCCATTTCTAAGACTAAGGTACGATTGATCGAAAGGACAAAAATCATAAAGAAGGGAATAAACATACTTTTGATGAGGACATAATAAGATTGAGTTGTCTATTGGTAAGACATCATTGGGGTTACTTAACCATTTAGATAACCATTCACTATTTATCCATTCCATATTGTCTGCAAATAAAATGAAATGAATGGAGTTTTACGTCCTACTTTTCTGCACCATACGGGCTAATGAAGATGGGCAATGCCATGCAAGGCGCAATGAGGGAAATTTTGCCCGGACAGCGGTGTTAGCCTGCTCTTTTTCCATTTCCAACTGTCAAGGGCACAGTCTGTAGCGCAGAGTGCCTCGGTTTATTGTCTCTTTCGAACAACTAGACGTTTTTTCCATGTCAGCCCTTCTTACCTGCACCACTGACAGGGGGAAACCGGGTTGAAAAATCCGAAGGTTTTATCTCGACCTATGTTGGGATTGAACCCTGGTCCTTCGGGTTAGCGAGCAAGCGTCTTTAGAATGCATTAAGAAATGTCTGATAGAAAATTAGCCAGGATTTACAAAGTATTGAATATATTACTTCTCTTTTGGATGGTAGTCTTGATGTAAAACAGTCTAATAACCAGTGAAAAATATCTAATATTCTTACCTATTTGTTGTCTTCCATCATTTATTAATAATGACTTATAGATTGTCTGTATTTCACTTTGTTTAGCTTTACCATTTTCTATATTACAATCCTAGAGTTATACATATATAATACATGTACAAATGAAATGAAATGAATAATAATAATAAAAATAAATGAAACTTTTTATATCATACACTCATACAACAAGTGAAATGAAAAGAATTGGGAATTTCACTTTTTATATCATACACTCATACAACAAGTGAAATGAAAAGAATTGGGAATTTCACTTTTTATATCATACACTCATACAACAAGTGAAATGAAAAGAATTGGGAATTTCACTTTTTATATCATACACTTATACAACAAGTGAAATGAAATGAATTGGGAGTTTCACTTTTTATATCATACACTCATACAACAAGTGAAATGAAATGAATTGGGAGTTTCACTTTTTATATCATACACTCATACAACAAGTGAAGTGAAATTAATCGGAATTTTTCAAATTAAAATTGTACACTGCTTAATAAAAATAGCAAAAAAAGGACATAAATGCACTCGTTCCTTTAAAAATAACTAAACACTATGTATTAATACAGATTAACTTTATTATTGTGACAAAATATTTTACACTTACCCTAGAATTCAAGATTTCAGATATCCAACTATTAAATTTTTCATTATCTTTCTGAATGTAATCTTGAACAGCTGATGGTAATAAATTATATTCATCTTCATAGTTAACTAACTTTTCTTAAAGGAAATAAAAAAAAATCATAACCAAGTACACCCCTCCACTTAATATTGAACTTTTCCACACATGCATTTTTTTTCAATATGAAACTGTTTATGTTTGATTGGAAGAGCCCATTTGTAAAATATGGGGGTGTTATGTGACCTGTTATGTAATCCCAGGTTCAAATATGTCTCTAAATGAAGCCAGAAATGATATCTAACTGATGGATGCCAGAAACTGCGCTCTTTCAGAGCGCTCACGGCCTTGTCATTCAATTGTACCTTGAAAAAACTAGGATGGCTATTGGGCTCATTTCATGACTACCTCATTGCTTTTGTCAGCTTGTAGATCTTGACTTGCAATTTGAGCAGGGAGATATCAGTTTCCTCTGTGTAAACAGATGATAATTTCATAAGCGATACTCTTTTCCCCTTAGGCCAGACCAATTTATTTTTTTGTTTTACGCCTCCTACCTCAATTTTCAGAAAAAAAAAAAAAAACAAAACAACCTTCATTCCTGGTGAGAAAAACAAAAACCTCATCAGAAACTCCCATTTTTACTAAAATATATTATTTTTGATCAAATCTATACTGAGAAAGTGGGGAAAATCAGGTACATCCTTGCTTTTGTAAGGTTTTTTTCCTCTTGTTCTGGTCATAATTCTCTTTACCTTTATGTTCACTGTCTTGCCGACTATAAACTAACATATAAGCATTCTTAGACGAATGGAATCCTTTACTGGTTTTCGGAATTTTCTGTTCCTTTCCCAATAAATCTAAAAAAAGACAAGACTGTAAATTCCATTTCTGTATAACTCAGCTGTACAAGATGTCTTGAAATTCAGACAGTTTCAAAATGTTTCAAATTGATTTGATTATACGGTAAGTCAATAATTATTGCAATGATTTAGAGCCCCGGTTCCCAACTAGGGGTGTTGGGGTATGGCCAACTGATGTAGGAGAATTTATTTTGAATTGAAAGAGTACCTCACATCATCACATGCTGAAAGTGTGGATGAAACAAATTTTTGGGGGTGTGAAATGTCCAGGTGATTGCTTCAGGGGTGTGAAGGCTGAAAAAGGTTGGGTACCACTGATTTAGAGGGTCAAGCCATGTAAATATATATTTGTGAAAATAGAAAGCAATTTAAGCTATCCAGAATCTGATGTTAATTCTGAAAGTGTCAGGGATAACAGACCTTGAGTTCTGGCAAAGATAAGGGATTAGAAAATAGCCACTCACCGGCTTCATCCTCTGTACCAAGCTGTAATTTCTTGCCCATCATTTTATGAATATTTTCATCATTAAATCTATACCAGGCTGTCTTATCATCTGACAGTATATGAGCTGTATAATGCCCACTATAAGCACTGGGTCCACTGTGTATCAGAACAGCTTGTAATTGATATACTACAGGTTTATCTGTAAGTTTGAATTTTATGGCATCATAATTCATAATGTCTTATGAAGGAATAATCTATGTGATGTCACTTAACACCTGATCCACAGAAAGAAAATGGGCCTAAAACTGCCCTTTCTCAGAAATGTAAGACACAACGTAACCTTTTTTATGTTTATGTTATGACACAATGTAACCTTTTTTATGTTATGACTCAACGTAACCTTTTTTATGTTATGACACAACGTAACCTTTTTTATGTTAGTACAAAACGTAACCTTTTTTATGTTAAGACACAACTTAACCTTTTTTATGTTATGACTCAACGTAACCTTTTTTATGTTAGTACAAAACGTAACCTTTTTTATGTTAAGACACAACTTAACCTTTTTCATGTTATGACACAACGTAACCTTCTTTATGTTATGACACAACATAATCTTTTTTATGTTTGAGCTATGATCCTTGTTCTGGATTCAAATATGACTGATGCATGAATAAGTTCTAGACTATCCCCCTTTTAAGATGCTTACCTGTGTGTAAATATTTACTCATATCTAGAGTATCAGGAAATTGTAGAAAACTATTTAGTTTCTTCTTATGTCCAGTCTTTTTATCAAATATAAATCGTAATATCTGAAGGTTTAATACCGGTGGTATGGTATCTAGACGTATAGCTCTCGTAGCATCTTGTTTTTCTTGACAATATCGACACAAATACCTATTCTCTCCTTCTAGCACTTCTTCCTAAAATCATTGAATAGATCATTAGGGATTCTTAATTAATTAATTGTGATTTATATCCATAAATAGAGACCAAGTATTTTATCTGTGTTTTGTAAACATGTCTATTTTGAATTGTGTAAATATTTGTTTTGTTTTTTTGTAAACACGTCTCTTCTGAATTGTATAAAATTATTGGTTTTGTGTTTTGTAAACACATGTCTCTTCTGAATTGTGTAAATATTGGTTTTGTGCTTTGTAAACACATGTCTCTTCTGAATTGTGTAAATATTGGTTTTGTGTTTTGTAAACACGTCTCTTCTGAATTGTGTAAATATTGGTTTTGTGTTTTGTAAACCCGTCTCTTCTTAATTGTGTAAATATTGGTTTTGTGTTTTGTAAACACATATCAGTTCAGTGCAATGTTTTGTAAACACATTAGTTTTGTGTTGTGTAAATACATATTGGTTCTGTGTTTTGTAAACACTTGTTTTGTGTTTTGTTAACACATATTGATTCTGTAAAGTCATTAAGAATTCAGAATACATTACCTGTAAGAAATTGTCTAAAGCTTGTTGTAATGTCTTTTGTCCTTGTATATTTAAATCTAATTCATAAAACATAGAACTAGTTTTAGATTCCCCACCACAATTCTTACACCTGTAAGACATAGTATCATTTGGCATTTCTTCAAACATTATTCTGTCTATGACCTTATTTTCAACCAAATTCAGAATCTAAATGGACAATTGCAACATAGATATACTGTCTTGGACTATAACATAAATTCATTACCGTACACTAAACTTATGTTGTGACATGAAAATGATGGATTGCTTCCATATATGCCCACATCAGAATGTATCATTGAAATATAAAGAAGCTATTGCATATTCATTTTTCGAGAAAAAACAAGGTTAAAACTCCTAAATTTTTTCAGGATTTAAATAGAAACAAAAATTATTAGACTTACAATATTTTATATATCTAAAAATTGGTGCAAATTGATGCTACAAGGTCCTCAATACACATAAAAAAGTTTAGAAAACCTCTTTGCAATCTCTTTCAAACAAAATAAAACTTACGTAATAACATAAAAATATTGTCCACGAAACTGTTCTTGAATAATATTCAATTCCACGGTTTGACACATAGCACTCTCTAAAAGGTTTAAAAATAATTTACAAAATTCTTGAGCATCCTGAAAAAAAAAATCAGGCATAACTTGACTCAGGTCAAGTGAGTTCTGAGGTAGCTCAAGGAAATAATTGAAATTTAAATATAATTATTGAAAATTTTATTATCAGTTTGATAAATAATAAAAGTATATTGTTCAGAGCTTACTAACATTATCAATATTCAATATACAACAAACCCTCCTCGCATAAATAAATATAAAAAAATGCTTACCTGTTGTAGGCCTGTATCTAATCCTAAATGATTGATAAACCATGTAGGATCAATAAACCTACAAGTATAATGCACATAATTTCTGTAAAAAGTGGTGGCACATTTACTATGTAGATATAAATATTGCCAAGTTGATCTTGTATTCAAAAAAAGTCTGTACACTCCTTTGATTTTTTCAAAAATCGAGAATACTTTTCTATTTAGCAAATTCACGAACTTTCTGGCTCTCTGAACCTGAAAAGTTATATTCTCACTGCTGCATGGTCATCAAATTTCTATTTAGCCAATTACTAATAATAGAAAAGCCCATACCGTTTTTCACTATATCTTAACAAGGAAAATATCAGTTGAAGTTGTCCACATATACTTGATGGAGTCCAGTTTTCATCTGAAAAATAAGTTGTATAATATTCACTGTAGAATGAATGAGATTTCATTTCTTCAGTTTTAGACTTTTAACTTAAGTCTACAAGTAGATGTTTTTCCATATACCTTTCCTTCCTCAAATATGGGAGAAGAAAAATCAGTTTGGATATTATGATAAAATGTCTGCTGTCCAAACCCAAAGCCTCCACACACGCAGACCACATTATCAGGAATTTAAAAAGTTCTGCAGAGGAATCTACAATGAGCAATACATTACTGAAATAAAGATAGTGAACCACAGCCGTATACGCCCACCACGGCATGCGGATGGTAAATATTCAAGATTTTAGGGCAAGGGCAATTTGAACTTGATCTTCGTTTTATGAACATGTATACACATACCGAATTTCATTTGATTCCATCAAAAAATCTAGTTTTTAGAGCATTTACAAGCAAATGTTGACTGACTGACGGACGGACGGATCGACCGACAGACGGGGGTGCCAACAATATACGTCCACATAGAGAGATGTGGGCGTATAAAAAAAAGAATTAAAAATACAGAGAAAGTACCAACAAAGGCGATGAAAATCAAATAAAGAACAATGCGATCAATCAATGAGAATGTAGAGTTAATATAAAGTCAAGCCATACCTACAACATCTGTAGAATCACTATCTCTCCATTTAAATATAGCTTGTCTAACAGCACTATTATGAAACCATAGTTGAAGGAATGTATTAACATAACATGTAGCTCCTAGATTCTTCAAACCTACATAGGAATTCTGAAATTTACACAAAAAATATGTTATAAATGTGAATACATATTACAAGAGCCAAATGTCCTTATAACTTAGAAATGTAACTGTTCATCAAAATTCTTAGATTCTTGTTTTCTAGTCTTTCTATGTGTCACAAATTGTGATTGTACTTGTATCATTCTAAAAGATGTCTGTGGTTCTGGCAATTCAAGAAAAACAATACAAAAACCAACAGAAATAATCATGGTTCCAAATGATTTAACTGGCAACAATAATCTACCCCGATTTAGTTAATGAAAATTCACTGCTGCAGAATTTGTTCTGAATTTGTCACCTTTTCTCGTCTCTCAACTTCAGGATCGAAATCAGTGTATTTCCTTAAATCAAGTTCACCTAGCCACTGTTTTTCACCAATACCATTCAAACAGAATGGATTTCCTTTACAATTTCTTCTGTAATAAATTAACATAATGGCCAAGTTAGAAAGATGAACTTTTAATAGAATAATTTTTTTTTATTTAAATCAAAAGAAGAAAATGGTGCCACTTTAATTCCATCCGGGCTCTTATTTTTAAATTCACAATTCTAGCTCTCTTTTTATTAGCCATGATATATAACATCAAACTTCCAAAGTAGCTTGTCAATTGGCCTTCTGACAAGATTAACGGTACTTACTTGCAGGTACCTTGTAAACAAGGTTTGACTGGTATCCTGTAGGCAGTAGCTACATTATCATCTGTCACATTATCAGGTTGAGTTGTATCAGCCCATTTCCAGGCTTCTTTATCCAGTTGAAGCTTTGGCGGCATCTTAATGACAGTTCACACCTAAGTTTAAGATTAGAAGACACTGAACTGTTGTACATATTTCAACTAGTATGGAACAGATTGTTAAGGCAGGAATAAGGCTATCAGTGGCACCAAGAGCCAATGGATTTAATGTGGTCAAAGATGAATTTGGAGCATTCCAAGGACCTAATTTTCACTTCTTACAAAAGACCTTTGACACCTTAGAGTAGTGGGGGGTTGTATACAAAGATATTAACGAATGCGAATCTGAAAACATTCTAGGTTTAGTCTAGTGCCAGTGGTCGGGGATATAAAACTTCAAAGTGGACATACAATGATGTCTTCGTTTATTTTAGAATTTGACTCCATAAACGGAAATAACATGTTGGGCTCTACACCGCAATTAATAAAGAATACACAAATGTTGCATATGTGTCACTTAAAAAGAATAGAATTACCATTCTCATTCATGTAATGGATACCAAAATTATTTTTACTTTTTTTGTTTGTCCGCCAACCTCAACTTCCTTTTAAAACAAAACAAGGTGGCGTAAAGTAAAGGATTCAGATTGTTACTTTTTCTAAAGAGAGATATCCTCAACTTCTATAGAATCAATTTGAATTGAATTTGGGATATTTTAAGCATTTCAAGCCGAAATAGAAGAATAAAAAAGTGAACTAAGTTTAAAATTTATCAACATATCTTCATTGACAAAAAAGGATAGTCCATGTCCTATTTTACAAATACTGGTAGCTACAAATTAGGAATGTTTACAAAACAAACAAAAGAGAAACGAATTTACAGAGCACAGGACATTGCATCTTGAAAGTGTTAATTCATACCAGAATCTAGCATTATCCCAGCCTCTCTCTGTGTACAGGTTTATTATCTGCTTTGTGTTTTCCAACCCAATATGTAGTTAAAAACTACCGTTCATTCATAATGACCAATTTAACTTGCTTGTGACCAACTTGCAGTTGCATGTGCCTCTTATAATTATTGTGACCAACTCATCATACTTTGTGACCAATTTACCTTGTGACCAACTGGTATGAGACTAAATTACTGTGACCAATTTTCCTGTGACCAACTTACCCAAATTTGTATTTTTTACTGCATATAACTTGATATTGTTTTGCTTTGCAGCAGCAGGAAGATCCGATAGTTTAAAGTGACTATAATTATACAACAATGTGTCAACCAGGACTATTTATCCAACCAGAATGGTACCATTCTAGAGAAGCTACAGAACTTATTACCTCGTATTTATTAAAGAGAGATGGAGTCACTCGGAAAACTTTTGGTAAATCAATTGTGCTATAGGCCATGGTTAGCCATTTTCGAGGGGTTGATTTTAGTCTTGTACATATGTAAATAGTCTTCATAGATACTAGAAATGTACAAAAATCGCAAATTAGGAATTTTACTCACTATAGATCACATCGGTATCACATCCTTATCAAAATATGATGAGTTGTCATATTAACCTTCAAACGCAGAGTTAATTCTGGACACACATGAATTTGGAGGCTCTAATTTAGATGGTGAGCTGTGAACACTATTACTGATTGGTTTAGCTAAACAATTCCTATTTCTGAGACAAAAGTATTATTGGATAAAAAAAAATGGGGCATCTGTCCCTTTAAAGGCCATGATTTGTCATTTTGGGGGGTCGATTTTGTTCTTGAAATTATATAAATAATCTTCAAAAGAACTATAGGTAGCTTTTTGTTGTATACAGACTGGATATCCATGACTCATAGAAGGTTACCCAGTAAAAATATTGTAAAAAAATGTGCAATTATTTGGTCACTATGATATCTAATGTAATGTAATCAACATGCATTCAAAATTGTTTATTCCAGGAATACTAGAGAAACCAAGTTTTCCATCCACTATAGAAGAAATAAGTTATAAATTATTTATAGTAGGTAAATCCAGTGTTGGTAAAACTAGTACAGTTTGTAAACTAACAGGCTATCCTATACCTACATTACATAGTGAAACACCAGGTAGGTCATTTGTTTGACAGGGCAGGGCTGGGTGGAAGAGGCCAGGGTATTTATTGCAAATTAGATCAAAAATAGTGGTCATTGGCTCTAATCTTGGTCTGAGCGTTGTTATTATATAAGATAATTATATTAAAGATGATACTGTAAAGATCTATCAGGCAGAAAGAATTTAAGGAAAAAAGCTCTTTGGAGTATCTGTCTTCATTTCACGTAACATCGCATTGATCTTTGGTTTTCTCATTGTATGTGTAAACCTTATGTTAAAAATTACAGGAGTTCAAGTATCAACAGTATATTGGCCTGCTAGAATTACTGGTTTAAATAGAATTATCATGTTTAAATTACAATTATGGGATGCAGGAGAAAATTCTCTTAAAAAATTCGATCATATTTTAAACGTAAGTATTTAACCCTTTGAACCCTGAGAGTAAATAACGTAAAAAAATATGTAAAATGTCATATGCTCTGAACTCCAAGTAACATAAGTAAAAGCTTACGTTGTGTGATGTCATTTAGTAACAGCCAGTATACTGGCTACTCGGGTATATATTGCGTAAGGTGTAGCCAGAAAGCCAGCTGCTAGGGTTGAAAGGGTTAAAGAATATAATAACAATTCATTTCTTAAAGGGATTGAATAAAGGTTTTCTTAATTTTTTATTTGTATCGGGGACATTAATAGCATCCATTTGCACCATTCCAATTGTCAGTCAGACGTCTGTAGTTCTTGCTAAAAGCTAAGAGTTATATAATGTTTTTATCCAAATAGCTGTTAATACTCTCTGTCGACCTTTGTGATAGTTTTAATAGAATTGAAAGAACTACTGATTGAAAATTGGAATGGTGCAAATCAACGCTATTAATGTCCCCATACACATACACAAATTTTTGTTTGCCAAAAATAGTTACTTAATGTATTTATATATTGTGTATTTATTTCTGTTTCCAGGCTTGTACAGAGAAAACAGATGGAATATTATTTGTATTTTCTATTGTTGATAAAGGTAGTTTTGATGAAATACCTCAGTTTCTAACTAAACTTACTAATCCTGGTGATAATCTCTGTAAAATTGTCCTGGGAACAAAGTATCCTTTTTAAAACAACATAAAATAGTGAAATAGTTTTCATTACCAAGAAAGGACAAATGAATGGAGTCATACATCCTACTTTTCTGCTCCACGTAGGCTAATGAAAGCAGGCAACACAATGCTGTGTGCAATAAGGGAAATTTTGCCAGGACTGTGGAAATAACCTACTCTTTTTCGATTTCCAACTGTTGAGGGATCTTTAACTTGCACAATCTGTGGCACAGCAGCCTAGGTTTATTGTCCAATCAAAACCACCAACAACGCTTTTTTCCTTGTCAACCCTTTCGACCTGCATCACTGACATGGGTAAACTGGGTTGAAAAATCTGAATGTATTGGCTTGACCTATGTCCAGATTTAACCCTGGACCTTCAGATTAAAGAAAGGACGTTGTACAACCAAAATGTACTTTTTCCATGTGTTTTTTTACCTTAACTTAAAGATTTGATCTACATGCAGAGAGTGAAGTCACACAGAGAAATATCAAAGACTTTGAATCAACATGGCATATCCCAGTGTTACGGATCAAAAATGTGCTTAACTACAATCAATCAGATCCCCAAAGTGATTTGTACGAACTTACACCAATATTAACCACTATTTGTGAACAATTATGGCATAGGGATATCATTTCTGCTCAAAATCGAAACAGAAATCAGGAAAAAGCCTTCTTCTGAGCATTGTTTACTGCCATGTCAATCACAAGTGATATGCCAGTCATATAACCTACTGAGGAAAGTGTCAGTCACATAACTTGCTGAATAATGTGCCAGTCATATACCTTGCTAATGGATGTGCCAGTCATATAACTTGCTGAGTAATGTGTCAATCACATAACCTGCTGAGGGATGTGCCAGTCATATAACCTACTGAGTAATGTGTCAATCACATAACCTGCTGAGGGATGTGTCAGTCACATAACCTACTGAGAGATGTGTCAGTCACATAACCTGCTGAGGGATGTGCCAGTCATATAACCTACTGAGGGATATGCCAGTCACATAACCTACTGAGTAATGTGTCAATCACATAACCTGCTGAGGGATGTGTCAGTCACATAACATATAGTTCTATGTGTCACAAAGAATCATTCTCAGTACTGGTTAACTGTTTGATGACTCGATGAGTGACAAAGTAATGTATTGATGTATCAACAAATTTTTTTAATTTATCTAGGATAAGTATAAGCTTCATTTTAGTTAATGGAATTGGGTACATACCTCCAATTTGTACATATACTTTAGTTTAATAAAAGTTTTCAAAAATATGAGAGTTTATTTCAATGTAATTGATGAGATGGTATGTACAAAGAATATTATAATGCATTATGGTTAATAAAATATTGTCATCAAATGTTTAAATTCAAACAACTCCATGGTACTCAAGGGCACAATTAGACATTCTATATTACAGCCTGCCACATTCAAACATGTCATATGGTTATTAACCTTTTTTGCAAATTATCTAACTTCCCACTTTACTAAGAGGTAACGAATACAGCATAACCACAATTGGGTATATTGAAAACACTGCACAAATTGTCCTATCAAAGTCATTAATGTAATAGAAGCACAATTTTGAAACTTAATTCTCTTGAACCATGGCCATATTTCAACTCTTACTGGCTGATCCTGAACCACTGAAAAAGAAAAAGAATATTATGTCAGCATTAAGGTTTTACATTTTCACACAGATAGCTGGAGAGATCACCTATGATGCCAGATCTGGATTCTACAGGTAAAGTAATCCCCAAGTTGTATAACTTGAACTCAGCTTGTTTCATGATATATTGAGGTTGTAATTACGAGAACCAAAGATGTCTGACTGACAATTGGAATGGGATAAACTGATGCTATTAGTGTCCCTGATACACATAAAACCTTTAGAAAAACTCTTTACATTCCCTTTAAGTTGAGCTGGAATACCCTGTGTAAATCCAATTATTTCTGTCAGTAGAGAGTTTGATGGTCGTCTGCTAAGCGCTTGGGTGGTGTGGGTTCGAATCCTCCTTAAGGTAAGAAAATTCTTATAGCTTGGCTTACAAGAGTCAGCCAGGTGTTGTCATCCCCCAACACCCCTCCTTCCCAAATAGTTTCAACCAGTTTAATCACAAAGACAGATACCCCCCCTTTTTTTTTTCCACATCTTACCCAGCAATAGATTCATCAACTATTTCTGTTATGTCATCATCAACAGGAGCAGAATTTTCTTTATCAACCTTTTCTTTTTTATCTCCTGGTCCTGTTTTAAAAAACTTAGTTATGTCTCTCTGCCAATCTGGAGTGGGTCGTACACAAACTGGGTTTCCTCCTGCATATTTACTACCTACAAAATACAGGTGCTATTGAAGTAGATTTGAGGCTTTTCGAATCATGCAAGGTATTCCTTTCTCCCATTGAACACAATCATATCACTTTTGTTAATATAAAGGTTAATAAAGTGGTAGTGTTTACCAATATCAAATTAACATTTCATACCTCAATACATGTAAATATTATTTACAATAACAAAAACAATAGAATATTCTAGTTATAGAAATATTGAAACAATTTGAAACTCTGAGTAACAACATGATTCAAGTTATTCGCCTTTTAATTTATTATCTTTACCAAGAACAGTTTAGAAATTGCAATTTGCTTAAGACTCTTCTAGGGCTAGGGCTAGTCCTTCTCCTAGTACTCACTTGCAGGTGAAGAACCATCAGCACTACTGGAACTAGCAGCACTACCCAGAGCTTTTCTTGGTGCTCGTGCTGCCACAGCTGAAATATATAAATAAAAACAATTACAACATTGTTCTTTTGGGCTTGTGCATTGTTTCTAAATTCTTAACTGGGCCTAATTTTGTCATTAATCTTTATATACCCATTCTGGCATTGTTGCAGTCTTTACACAAGATTTTCTGTAAAACAAAGCTTCGGGGATTAAGATCAATTAGTTTCCCTTTGACTGCAGCAAGTTGTCGTAACTAAGTAAGTTTATGTAGGCGTACCGAACTAAATACTATTATTACTAATCTAATCATTAGTTCTTAGTCTAGTATAGAAGGCCCAATTATCTGGAGTCGATATCGAAGGTTTTGGCATCTGGTACATACCTTTCCTCGTTGCTGAACCGCCTCCACCGCCGTCTGCTTTTGTTCTTACCATTTTTTAGAATGAGTGGCTTATGAACAAACTATACGTATCGATATTTCTCTAGTTATTTTTACTTGCGAAGTTGAACTTTCTTTCAACTCAGTTTGTTGGCGGACTTGCGTTTCCCGCGGTATCAAATTATTGTTCCGGGTCAAAGTTTACGATAGTCGCGAATGTCAAGTAAACAAATTTTATAACAAATCATAATGGACTGGAAAATAAAGTGTAAGTTTCTAAATATACACTCTATGGTTGGCGCTGAACTCAAATAGTAAACAAGAAGAAAGGTTGATAAACCAGTATAAATTTGTTTAATTATGATTGGAGGTGATCTGTACTCACAATTTTTCCCGACTCTTCTAAATAATGAAGCTGTTTCATTGAATACTGGTATGTGAAGTAGTGTAGTCTTAAACGGTACCCTGGATCGAAACACACCTCCCCCCCCCCCCCCTTATTTGTCATATTGAAACGAGTCCTACTGTAACTTAAAAGACTTTTTTTTTCAGGAAAAATTATTTATAGTCAGTTAATTTTACTGTGGAACTTTTTTTCTATTTCAGATACCTCAGAACCAGAAAAAATGAAAAAAATATTTTCTGTGAGTGTAATACATAAGCTGCTTTGCTATGCTATAAGAATCTTCTTGAAAGCCAGAATTGGTCAGACAATCTGATGTATGAACTCTCATGTGATTTTGTACTGTGACATTTAATATTTTTCTAATTTATAGGTTGCAGTTGAAGGCAATATTGGAAGCGGGAAGACAACATTATTAAATTTTTTTAAAAAATACAGAAATGTTGAGGTAAGCCGGCCACAATGACTTTTCCATATAATACAGTTCAACCAATGAATTCGGCAGTTGTGGTTGATGATTTGGAGCTGATTGGAGTTGATACTTGGTTGCTTAAGTGGAGGGCCTGGGTATGATCCTGTTTGAGGTCCAGATAGTGGCCTTCCTGTGGCATTTTCAGCCTGGTTTTCCCTTGTCAGTGAAGCATATGGGAGAGGCCCACATGGGAAAGGCCCCCTATGGAATAAATGCCTAGTGTACTACAGGCTGTGCATGTTACATGACAGTTAGAAATTAAGAAAGAGTAAGTTGATGCTGTTGTCCTGGCACAATTTCCCTGATTGCACACTGTATTTGTCTTTATTATCTCAAACTGGAGTTGAAGGGTAGGATGTAAACCTCCAGTTCATTTCATTTACATTGATTTCAGGTTTTAGTGGAGCCTGTAGAAAAATGGAAAAATATTAAAGGTTTTAACAGTTTAGTAAGTTTTTACAAGTATACATAACAGATTGGTTGATATACTTGTATGACCTAGAACACATTTTGATTACAATTTCGTCAGATCATAAAAAGGAAAAGATCAAAAATTTGATAATATGGTATCTTGGCTCATTTTGAGACTCTTTTAAATATGATAGAATACATGGAGAATTTATTGACATCTTTAAATTATAGGATTTGATGTATAAAGATGCCACTCGATGGAGTTCAGCTTTTCAGTCGTATGTCACTCTAACTATGTTACAAAATCATCATTATCATAATGTAAGTTTTATTTTAATGTCATACGTAAATTCACGTCCATGTGGAAATTGTATTCATATTACATATATATTAAATACCGTTGAAACAATTTTCTTTACTGATTCATGGTTAGGGCAAGGCTCAAATGGTCACATTTTTGCGAGTTGCTCCGATCCATTTTTGGATCACTTGTTGCAGAATTTTGCACCATATAAGGGACCAACTTTAGCAAAACCTTCGGTATCAAACTTGGTCTAATGCCTTAACATCACTAGACACTTTTCTTATATATATTCATGGAATGTAAATAAAGTGAATTTTTTTCTGTACATAAAAAAATTAGTTCACAATAACTAGTATTATGAGACAAAGTTCATAATACCTTGACCCCTGTAAAGATAGATTTTATTTCCAGGATGAAATCAACATTCGAATGACAGAAAGATCTGTTTATAGTGCTAGATACTGTTTTATAGAAAATCTTTATAAAAGGTAAAAATAAAGTCATGATACATCTTCAAAATGTTGCAGTATAAGAATGTAATCTATTTTTAAAAACGTAATATATATGTAGAAAAAATACAGAAGCACATTAGTGTAATATATTTACATGAATATTGCAGTGGATAAATGTAATATATTTACATGAATATTGCATTTAATTAATGTAATATATTTACATGAATATTGCAGTGGATAAATGTAATATATTTACATGAATATTGCAGTGGATAAATGTAATATATTTACATGAATATTGCATTTAATTAATGTAATATATTTACTTGAATATTGCAGTGGATAAATGTAATATATTTACATGAATATTGCAGTGGATAAATGTAATATATTTACATGAATATTGCATTTAATTAATGTAATATATTTGTAAAAAAAAATATAGAAGCATTAGTGTAATATATTTACATGAATATTGAAGTGGATAAATGTAATATATTTACATGAATATTGCAGTGGATAAATGTAATCTATTTACATGAATATTGCATTTAATTAATGTAATATATTTGTAAGAAAAAATATAGAAGCATTAGTGTAATATATTTACATGAATATTTCAGTGGATAAATGTAATATATTTACATGAATATTGCATTTAATTAATGTAATATATTTGTAAAAAAAAATATAGAAGCACATTAGTGTAATATATTTACATGAATATTTCAGTGGATAAATGTAATATATTTACATGAATATTGCAGTGGATAAATGTAATCTATTTACATGAATATTGCATTTAATTAATGTAATATATTTGTAAAAGAAATATAGAAGCACATTAGTGTAATATATTTACATGAATATTTCAGTGGATAAATGTAATATATTTACATGAATATTGCAGTGGATAAATGTAATCTATTTACATGAATATTGCATTTAATTAATGTAATATATTTGTAAAAAAAAATATAGAAGCACATTAGTGTAATATATTTACATGAATATTTCAGTGGATAAATGTAATATATTTACATGAATATTGCAGTGGATAAATGTAATCTATTTACATGAATATTGCATTTAATTAATGTAATATATTTGTAAACAAAATTCAGAAGCACATTAGTGTAATATATTTACATGAATATTGCAGTGGATAAATGTAATCTAATCACTTGAATATTGCCGTAAATTAATATGAATATTGCAGTTATTAAATGTAATCTATTTACATGAATATTGCCGTAAATAAATGTTATGTATTCACTTGAATATTGCAGTAAATTAATGCCAGAAATAGATTATGCTATGTTGGGAGAATGGCACGATTGGATTAAAACAAATGCTGAAGCTCAATTAGATATTATAGGTAGGAATCAAATATCAAATGCTGGCAATAACTTTTTGTGGTCAGAGTCCAAAACAGCTTAATGAACTAGCTGAATATAGGTATTGCAATACCATTCGTTTTCATTTCATTTTAGGCATATATTTTAACAACTTTTTTAAGATCTCTGATTTTTGCATATAATTAACCTCTAGACATCTGATTGGTCATAAACATAAATACAAAGAGATCAAATTACTGAATGTTTGCAAGTGAAAAAGTAAGCTCCTCCCACCAGTGATTGACAGATTAAGCTAATTAACTCATGCTGAGTGATTATCATTGCTTTCTTTCTCATGCAGTTTATTTACAAGCAAAACCAGAAACATGTTTAACAAGAATAGCTGAAAGAAATAGGCATGAAGAACTAGGTGTACCTTTAGTAAGTTTTAATTCTAAGGCAATCAAAGGTAGCTGGTAAGACACTTTCTCACCAACCTAAAAGTCAGTTTTAACTGGGATCAAGTAAAAACTTGTGAGTCAAAATGACCCTTTGCGATCCAGTTCTTTTATGATTAACCAAAATATAAATTCATGATGATTTTATCGTGCGAATTGGCTGCCCAATCTAGACATATTATACAACTCTTGGTGGTTTCCGTAAGCTTGCAAGACTTGAAAGGTATGATGCAAGCATAAATAGAGATAGCCCTTGGTTACCCCTATCTGTTGTGTATGAGGCTCTGACATGCAGGGATCCCATGTTTCCCCTATTTAGTTTTCTTGTCTTTTATAGGATTATTTACAGACTCTAGATAGCTTACATAATGATTGGTTAATCAAGAAGATTCATGGTGAAGTCCCCGCTAAAGTTATCGTAAGTACATGAATATTGTATTGGTGGGTGGGTGGATTGACAGAGGTTTTTCTAGACTAGTTATGGAAATTTCGACAATGTATTTGAACCATTCCAATAGCAATTTTGACAGCCAGTTTCATTTTGATTGTCAATTCACTACCACTTTGACAGTCAATTCCATTCCAGTTTGACAGTCAATTCCGTTTCAGTTTGACAGACAGTTTCATTTTGATGGTCAATTCACTTCCACTTTGACAGTCAATTCCATTCCAGTTTGACAGTCAATTCCGTTTCAGTTTGACAGTTTCATTTTGACGGTCAATTCACTTCCATTTTAACAGTCAATTCCTTTCCGATTTGACAGCTGATTCCATTCCAGTTTGACAGTCAATTCCATTCCAGTTTGATAGCTTATTCCATTCCAGTTTGACAGTCAATTCCATTCCAGTTTGACAGTCAATTCCATTCCAGTTTGACAGTCAATAACATTCCAGTTTGACAGTCAATTCCATTCCAGTTTGACAGTCAATTCCATTCCAGTTTGACAGTCAACACCATTCCAGTTTGACAGTCAATACCATTCCAGTTTAAAAGTCAATTCCATTCCAGTTTGACAGTGAATTTCATTCCATATATAATTTTGATTACAGATTATCAATACAGATGGTAATAAAGAAGATGTTATAAAGCAGATTCAAGCTGTAGAATCAGAAGTCATGTGTGGCATTCAGCCACTACTTTGATTCTTGCCTTGAAAATTGATCTTTTGTGCTTATGATTGTTGGATACTGAGCTCATGTTCTTAGGGATCCCAGATTTGCTCCATCCAGAGGAATTCCTTTATTTTTCTGGCCGGTGGTATTTTTTTTTTTTTTGAAATAAAATCACAAAAAATTAAGATTTGAGAGATAAAAAGACTTCCAAAGCATCTTAAAAATAGTACAAATCCGAACCCCCACAACCATCACCTGTATCCCCATATGGAAGCCTGTGGCATCCTTGACCCTCAGCTGATGATTTCCATTTTTTGGATTCCTCACTGGGACCCCTGATAATGAAAAAGAACACCTGTGAAAGTGTGCAATGTAGTGTTCAGTATTAAAAGTGTGGTTCTAGAGACGTAAACTTCTGATCTCATTTGTATTTAGGTATAAGTCGGATTTGTTTTTTTTTATGAAAAGAGTATGAAAGTGAGAATACATGTGTATTTCTACAAGGTATATGGGTGTATTATTAAGGTTATAAACGAAAACTTAAAAATGAACTAGTTTAAACTGCTTCATTAACAATTAGTACTCTCCGTTTTTATTTAACCCTTTTAAAACAAATTCAGTTTGATCAAGAAGATACATAGATATAAATAGCATATTTTAGAAATGTTTTCGGGTATAATTGAAGTAGTTTTTTTGCATACTGCCCCTCTAAGATGTAAGTAAATGGTTTNTTAGGTATAATATATGTTTAACTAAACCTTAAATTGTATATGTTGTTGATTAATAAATATCTCATTGTTATTTTGCCATGAATTATAACCTTATTAAATTATATTTCGAACTTATATTATTAATTTATTTTAAAAGCTTAGCCATTTCCTGGAGTTGATTTTAGCGTTGCGTTGCGTGTCTTCATTGACCAAATTTAATCAGGTGCAGGGGAGTAGGACGTAAAAGTCCATGAATGGCTTTTGAAGCTGTAATTATTTTGATATAAGTACTAGTGTACTATTATCAGAAAAAATCCTCGTGATTTGTCATAACTTCAGGTATCATACAAACTTCCAACATTACCAGATATTCTATCATATCCTACTGATTTGGGATTATTAAGATGTGCGACACTATGTAGTTTGCAATGAGATCAATTTTGCCATAACAGCAGCAATAGCAGACTGCTTTTCGATCTCAAACTGTGGTCGAGGGATGCTCGAAACTGCAGCACTGATAAAGGAAGAATTGAGGGAAGGGAGATATATATTTCGACCAATGCCAGAATTGAATCCTGGCCCTACCGGTTTTTCAGAATGACATCATGCTTAATCATAATACTATAAATATACAATTTATTGCATTAAGTTAAAAGCATCCTACAAGCTTTTAACTAGATGAGAAAATAAATAGAAAACAAAGCAGAATTCTTTGGTTTTTCAAGTTCGGCGGGAGATCTTGTGAAGCACTATTTTTAAAGCTGAAAGTAATCACGTTAACGGCCCACCATGAAGTTACTCTATTCTGCAACATATAACTATATTTAATGGTTAAATATGTTCAGATTGTCGTGTGATTTTGGAAGTTCAGACGTCATTAGATGGTCGTTCGGGACTATAACCTTTTGTCAGCAAATTCAACTGTATTGTTTTCAAATAATAGTAAATTGGTTAACTGGTTGACAGACTGTAGGAGCTATATCGCAGTGTTCCTATAATTGCTACCATTGCTTAAACGTCACAGTCTCGTCCCAGGAGACAAACACAAGGAATCCTTCATTTCCACGGCAGATTCAGCTTTACGGAAACTGTCAAGAATATCCGAATGATGTACTTCTAGCAGCCGGTAGAGTCTGATCAACTGCTGAATGTAGTCGATCTGAGCATATCGACAATTGAAAAATCACAATTATCATCAGCTACAAATGTTCTACTTTCTATTTTAAATTGAGTCGACCTCAACGGTCGGAATCTGATGACGACCCGAGGCCACCTTAAATGCTTGTTAACTTTCATTGTTCTCCTGTTTTCCTGTTTGTATCATTTATAATTAACGCCGTACGAAAAAAAAAAACATTGTTGCAAAAGTCTGATTAAACTGGAACCACTAAGTAGATTTCTTGATCGATCCATTATAGCTCTTGTCCTTTGCGGAATCTTCAAAATTCCAGTCTTTTTGTTCTATCATTTGTATCGTTTTCTTGTAGGTCCAATACGGAGTCATGACAAACGTGACTAAAGGAAGTTGTATATATAAAGCATAGAATACGGACGTTGGCATCTGCGTATAGATATAGTCCCAATGAACATAGGAGACATACCAAAAATAGCATTCCACTATAGATCGACAATGAAAGGTATGGACCAATAAAAATTGATTAGCTTTCCATATCCAACTTTTCTCTTTACCACATTTCAACATGGTCCAACACAGTGCTGAAAACGGTGTACTCATTTCCAAAGTAAGACCTTTACATGCAAACAGATGGTTGGCCCCCGTCTGTAAAACCAGATAGTAACCAACTAAAGACAACCAATGGTGGAGATTGAGCAAAACGTTGGCACTTTTAAAAACTATGTCAGAAATAAGCAAGGCTGAACATTCGAAAGCGAAAAATCCAACCGTGACTGTAATTGCGAAGGAACTTGTGGGTGTTTTACCAAATATCACGTCCCTGTCCATCGCAGTTGGTGTAAACAGAGCCCACAATCCGACAGTTCCACCAAAAA